ATTTTGGGGTTATGCATTTAGTTTGAATTAGTTGTATTTAATTCTTTAGTTGTTTAGTCAGGGAAATAAAAAAAGGGAAGAAGCTGTATTTTGTTATTATTTTTAGTGAGGTTTGAATAATTTCTGTGGACTAAGACAATTTAATGATTCAGTTCTCCATTTTGTAGCATCAGGTCGGGTTAATATGGTTACTCTTCCCTTTGTTAGGAGGTACATGGGATATTTTTGCAATTTGGTTTTATGATTTTGGCTACTGCTGCTGCATAAGCAGGCAGACGGATGATTACTGTCATACTTTAAGTTCCATCATTGATGTTGGTTTAATTCAATGTAATGTTCTTTTGAAAGTGTAGGTGACTAAAGTAAAGACCATATCTCCTCATTGGGACTTTGTGGATGCCCCTTGTGAGTATGCTTCATGCTGTGGAGGGTGCAAAACACAAAACCTGTCTTATGAGGCTCAGCTTAGAGCTAAGGAACAACAAGTCCGTGAGTTGGTGATACATGTTGGAAAGTTCTCTGATAAAAGCCCTGAGTTTTCAAGCATTATGAAGCCAATTGTTCCCTGTGACATGCAGTTTCATTACCGAAATAAGGTTAGTGCAGGAGAAAGACCTTTAACTTTGATTATCTTTGGTTTAATTACTCCATAACTCTCTGAATATTTCTCTTTAATTTGGCTCCTTACAACTAAATAATTTATCATTTTCTGATCTGCATGTTTCCTATTTCCTTGATAAAAAGGAACCCATGACATTTTAAGTGCTCTCATTATACAACTCTTGTTAAATTGCTTTCACATATTTAACTGCACATAGACAATGATGTAAAACCATTACTAGCTTTATCCACAACTGAGAATCCCATATACAACAATTATATTGCATTTAGTTAGAAAATGTAGAATGCCTTAAGCATGAAAATGCTGTCTTCCCTGAACATGCATAATGGTTGAGCATGAGTTTTGGAGGAGGAGTGCTTTTCTGGCATTTTCTACCGGTCTGTTCAAATTCTGGCATCAGGGTCATTAAGTATTAAAAGCAGTTTACAAGAGAAGGTTCACTAGGATAATCTGTGTGCGTCTTATCAACTGTTAAAGTTTCAGAAACAGCAACTATGTTATGTTATACCTTTATTTCTTCTTCAATGGCAGCTATGATTCATGTGGAGTTGAATTTATCACCTTAATATGCTGTGCGTTGACTGCACATGTCCCTTAATCTTCTCCTATTGACCATAACATTCACTAATGTGGGGATTGTCCTTTTATGGGTTCTTAGAAAGTGACTTTGCTACCTAGAATAGTGCATGAATCTTTTCAGTAAATTTACATATAGAATAACGATGTTAGCTAAAAATTTCATACTGTGCAGATGGAGTTCTCGTTTGGTTCTAAAAAATGGTTACCTAAAGAATCATTACACGAGAAACTGGATGGTAATGAGACATATGCTTTGGGACTGCATGCTCCAGGCTGTTTTGATAAGGTTCTGAACATTGAAAAATGCTTATTACAAAGTGAGCCTGCCAATAAGGTCTATTCTCTTTCCTTTATATTATTGGAGGCTGTTTGTCCTTAAATTGTTGTGAAATGAACCTATGCTGGTGAGATGTGAATGAGAAATCTATAAGTTTAAGCTGTTCCATGGAGTAGCTCAGTTAGAGGGACAGGCTGGGTGTGTCTTGATTTTCTATATATAATATATTCTTCACTTGACTTATCTTCTTCAACTTCTTGTTTTTGACCAATAATTTAGTTCAGATCTTCACACCATTTTGTACCGTCAATTTATGTTATGTGATAGACAATTTCTATGTCCTGCCTGCTTAACTTGCATTTTGTATAAGTAGATTCTTGCAACCGTCCAAGAAAGTTGGAGAGAACCAGGACTAGGTCTTTCTCCATATGATGTTTACTCTCATGGTGGATTCCTTAAGCATCTAGTTCTAAGAACTGGAAGGTACTATGAGGTCTATTTATTCCTAATAATGACCCTATAATATTTTACTCCAAATAAATTGATTTCTGGTTTACATTCTGGCCATATTCTAAAATTATGATTTGTGTTCTAGGAACATTGAGAGTGGTCTTCCTGAAATGATGGTTAATTTTGTGACTTCATCTTACAAGCCAGAACTGCTGAAGCCTCTAGTTGCAAAGATTGCAGTTCTTCCTGAAGTGGTATTTTTTTATTTTTATTTTTTTGCCTATCATGTACCTCTATGCCTTTGTATATGTCACATTGATATTTGCAGCAAGATAGCTGTTGACCCACCCCTGATCCCTAATATTATTAATTAATAAACCATATAGTTTTATGAGTGGATCAACTTGACCAGCGCTAATCCAAGCTAACTTGATAAGATCAGTTACTTGGTTGAGCTGGCTCTTTATGTACCCTTCTCTAATTTTCATTCCTAGTGCTAGCTAAATTCATATGATTAACACAGTGTGCCAAGTAAACTTTTTGAGCCTTCACAACTTTCTCAACACACAATAATATGATAAAGGAAAATTCGTTTTGGGGATGTCAAACAGCTGAGAATTCTTCTTTAGGCTCTTTCATTGGGTTGACATGGGAAATTTTGCTTATATAAACACTCGAAAATGTTGGTTCTTAATGAATGCTGGCTTCTAAATGACCCCCATAATGTCCGATGTGCGTGTCAGTTTGGGTATATGAACAAATGAGCTACTAATGTTGTCCCTACTGAAATATTGGCTGCCTTCTTTGCATGGGAAATAGGAATCCTTGGGATGACTAACTCCATAATTCAATGAATTTTATAATTATAGATATCTTCATGTTTAATTTCTTCAACAATGGGACGATCTAGGGTGTAAGGAAAATTTATATTCATTATTGGTGTTCTTTTGCTATCTGAATGCACTGTTTTGTGAAGTCATTGCTGATCAAAAAAGGGTTTTGTGAAGTCACTTTGATGATTAGTTTATGCTGTTATTTAGTTCAGTTGATTATAATTAATCTTCTTTTATCTTATTGTCCTCTTGACCAATAGGTTAGCATTATGAATAATGTCAATACTTCTGTTGGTAACACTTCCATGGGGGAGGAGGAGTATACTTTGCTTGGGAAATCTACAATAACAGAAACCTTAAGAGGTTTGACCTTTCAAATTTCAGCGAATTCCTTTTTCCAAACAAATACTCATCAGGTATCAGTTCAGATGGAGCTCTCTGAACTGTGATCATTAAATTTTATATCATAATCAATATTCTTGATGATAACAACAAGGTCTTATATTACTTAGGCTGAGGTCCTGTATAAACTCATTGAAGATTACGCTGCCCTGAGAGGAGATGGCTCTGAAGTTGTTCTTGACCTGTTTTGTGGAACTGGAACCATTGGTCTGACACTTGCCAAAAAGCAAGTCCCTAGTCATCTTCTCTTCCTATGATTGAGTGCAGAGAGCAGCTAGTTTACGAGAGTGTTTTTCTGACCTTATTTTCTATTTTTCCAGGGTTCAACATGTTTATGGCTATGAAGTAGTTGCTCAAGCTGTGAATGACGCAAGGCGAAATGCAAAGCTGAATGGTATAGATAATGCTACATTTGTTCAAGGGGATCTTAACAAAATTGGTGAAAATTTTGGCAAGGATTTCCCAAAGCCAGACATCATCATTTCAGGTTCATATCAAACATCTCATTCATGTAACTTTACCTTTCCCTTTGAAAATAATTATTACAGACTTACAGTATGAAGACAAGATCACCATCCTTTTTTTTTGGCTTATTGTTTAGCAGTTTTGGAAGAGGGTCGGAGCAGTTGTGGGACTATTTAAAATTAAAAATGGCTTTCATGTACAAAGATCTTTCTTGTCAAATCTCTCTTTATGTTAATTGGGTAAATTTGAAGTTTGTCACTAAAACTGGAAAGTTGTATCAGGCAATCTCGTTAAAGTTATACAAAATCCCTTAATACATTAGTTGTAAAAATCTCATCCTTGGGGACTTTACCCTCAATAAAGATATGCCACTTGATGTGAAAGTTAACATTGAGTTCTAGAAGATGCTCATTACTTTCTTCATTTCCTGTTGAGATATAAATATAACCCTCTTTGGGGTGGAAACTGTTTTAAAGTTGAATATCAGATTTAGCAAAAATTTCATCTTATTTGGGGGCTAGCATAGACCCTTTCTTTTTCTGATGGTCATAGACTCTTTCTTGCCTCCTCTGAATACCTGTAATCAAGAGACATATATTTATACAGATTCAAGACTCATTGCTAAAGTCAATGAGGGCATTAGCCATGATAGAATGCATGTGAGTCAGTAGCTCGTCTGTTAAATCTTTACTTCATGAAGTATTCATCATTGAATTTTTTTCATCCATGCTTTGCAGATCCAAACAGACCTGGTATGCACATGAAGTTAATCAAGTTTTTGCTAAAACTTAGAGCTCCACGTATTGTCTATGTGTCATGCAATCCTGCCACATGTGCTCGTGACCTTGATTATCTTTGTCATGGTGTAGTAAGTAGTGCCTAGTCTCCACTAATTGCTTCCTAATCCAATATTCTTGCTGCCGTCACAAATGTTAACAATCTTCATGCAGGAGGAGCAAAATATCAAAGGATGTTACAAGCTGAAAAGGGTGCAACCTGTTGACATGTTCCCTCACACCCCACACATTGAATGTGTCTGCCAATTAGAGCTGTCTTGACCCCTGTTCTGTCTACCCTCTTTATTCTTAAACTTTCATAGCATTTCTTATCACTGTCCAAGACCAAAATCTTCATTGTAGTCCAATGAGCTTCAATGTATCTCATCATGGTTGAGTCACACAGATTCCATCAATGAACTTGACCAGAAAATGGTAGACACCCTTTCCAATTAAAAACTTGTGGAAGTGAACAGCCAAAGTGAGGTCTAAATGCCAGCAAGACCTTGGTCCAATGGTGAAGGATTAGCTAAGGCCCCTTGGAAGTTCTAGATTCCCTCCATCCCCTAATCATTTTCCATTTTATATAATCCACTAATCCTAGGATTTAAGGATAATGCTTAGGAATAATTATATAGAAAATGATTATTGACAATATATATTTGTTGACAACAAATCTTTGTACCATGATGTAAAAATAGTTTTTATAGCATAAATTAGTGGACTTGTATACTTTTGGCTGTACCTTAAATATTAAAAAGAAAAAGTATTATAGAGTCTAAATTATTTCAGATTATACAATCATAACCATTGGATAGGATCTGAGTTCTTTAATATTGGGGATCCTTTCCTATTTAGTGGCCCTTGTTTTACAATCTAGTGCACTCTAGATCGTAAAACAGAGAATTCATAGCATAATGGTTTTGAGGGTATGGGGTAAGATGGGGAAGGTAAAGAGATAAGATTAAGGAAACTACTACATCTCATTAATTCTTATTAATTACCAGTACCTCTTGAATCTTTACAGGTAAATAATATCTTTCCTATGATATCCCTCTATATTAGGAGTAATATCCTCGGATCCTATTAGGCATTTGTACAAATTTTATTTTATTTTATTTTATTTACAATTTCTATATGTTATTAAATATATGAATAATAATTACTAAACCTTTTGATTCAATACATTTATTAACACTTATCGATTTAATTATTAAATTTTACAAATGAAATTTTTTTTATTTTGAATTTAAATTTAAAATAATTATTTCTTAAATGATACACCAATCATTATCTTAAATATATTGATGTATATAATATAATGGGATCTAATAAAAAAAAAGAGAGAGTCAATTAATTATTAAATGATATGTAAACCTATATGAACAAATTTGTAGACAAAAATTGTCCAAAAAAGGCATAAATCATTTTCCTTATAACTGTATCATTTTCGTTATTTTAGGGTTATTTTTATCTTTTATCTTCCCTAATATCTTTACCACCAAAGGAAAATCATGAGATTGCTTGCCATAAATGCTCATTTGATGGAGGGAAATTCATAAGCATATATAGTTCCTTACCATGTATAAATATGAATGAGGGGATCATAGTTAATCATTCATATTAAATTAGAAAATTCACAAAAAATTACCTTTTCTCCGAAGATATCAAATCTTGATTAACAAGAGCTTCTAGGGTATCCAAAGTTTTAATCTCAAACATTGTCAAACAAAAATCAGATAAATTTTGTGCAGCTCTCAATGGCCAAACCAGAAGAACATTTAAAGTTTGTCTTATTAGCTTTATATCTAATGTTGAGCAATGCTTCTGTTGATGGAAGATTGATCACATCCACCAAAATTACAGAATCAATTCGACTAATAGGAACTCTAAAAACAATCAAGGTACTCCTCCTTCACTAGTATTCCATTTCCTTTTTTCACTGTTGGCATTTCTAGTGCAATGTGTTTATGCTTTTCAACATTTGCAGACTTTGGATGGTATTTTGATTGATTGCGTTGATATCTACAAACAACCGGCTTTGCATCATCCACTTCTCCAGAATCATATTATTCAGATGAAACCAAGTTCATATCCAAGGGAAATAAAACTGGAAACTTCTGTTAGCCAAAAGAACCATCTGGAACATTCTTATTCTTGCAATATCTTTCAAACTTTTCTTAATAATGAAGAATGCCCTGACGGAACTATTCCTATTGCCAGAACCACTAAAATTTATCTCCCGGGAGTACTACTTAATGCTGCCACGGATAATCCAGGTCAACATGAGGTAACTACCTAAATTCGGTTAATCTTTTCATCAAAATCTTTTGTCATTAATTTATATTGCGCTAATTTGTTCTGTTCTATCAACTATGACTGAAAATATGGCATATATAGTATGCCCAAATTTCTTTGGTTGATGGTAAGTATTTAGGAGCACAAGCAGAAATCAATGTATGGAATCCTGCAACATATGATCAAGAGTTTAGCTTAGCTCAAATTCGAGTTTTCTTAGGCCAACCAGATGGATCAAACTATATAGCTGCCGGATGGATGGTAATCTCTTTTCTGTCAACAAAGTTTCCTTTGTTTGATCTAAATATGAGCTTGATATATATATATATATATATATATAAACATGTTTCTTGGTTTTCTAGGCTCAGCCAGGGAAAAATGGACCCGGATTCTTCATATCCCACACTGTAAGTTTTGTTATTTCCTTCCATTTATCTGCTGTTCATCTTGATTTATATTTGACTAAACTCTATAAATGTTTGAAATTGATAGAGAGATGGAAAAGGGTGCTTTGATCTTCAATGCTCTGGCTTTGTTCATATCAATAATAAGGTTTTCCTAGGCAAGAATGTTCTACAACCTTCCTCCACCTATAATGGACGGCAGGATCAGATTAGTGTAGCGATCTTCAAGGTAATGCAGATTCCTGTAAAGTATTACAGGGTTGGAAAAATTCCAACTGAGTAATTCTAAAAGTAAAAATGATGATGAACACAGAAACACGTTTCAGGACAAGCAGAGTGGACACTGGTGGGTGCAGCTGCAAGGTGAACCATTTGGATATTGGCCAAACTCTGTCTTCTCAGGTTTAGGGGAAAGTGCTACTGCAATTACCTGGGGTGGAGAGATTCTCAATTCAGCAGCGCAGGGTCGTCACAGCTCCACACAGATGGGGAGTGGACATTTTCCAAATGAAGGCTTTGGAAAAGCTGCCTTTTTCCGTAATGTCAAGTACATGGATGGGAATCTAGTTTTGATAGATGCAGAAAATGTCGAACTCCAGGCAACAAAATCTGCGTGCTATGATGTGCATATAGAAAACAAGAGCAAAGATTTTGGAACTCAATTCTATTTTGGAGGCCCCGGCTACTCAGACCAATGCCAGTAGAGAAAGCAAGAGATTGAGATTTTCAGTAAGCACCAGGGTATGATTATTTGGGGTTCTGTTGTTTCTTATTTTCCTATCATATCCTACTCAGAAATACATAACAAAGTCATATTCAGACAAATGACATTCTTCGTAGAAATTGAATAAAATAATTGGTCTTTCTTCTAATCAGGCAGCATCTAGTTCTGATGTATAAATTATGTTCTACTATTATGAGGCCACAGGATGAGACTGATAAACAGTTGCAAATATTCATAAAAGGATCCAACCATGCTTATGATAACGTCCAAGCTGAATGCATTATTAACGCAGAAGTTGAACATAGGAGCCAACACAAACAAAACAAAGCATAAGTTTTTCTGGTTTTTGATTTAAAGATATATATTTACATGTTATCAACATATATCATTGGTATTACAGAGACAACATCATCTATTTGTAAAAGTACTAAAATACAGTCATATTTTGGCTAGGTTTTTGTAGATACAAAAATTAATCACACTGCCTCCTTTCTTCTTGTATGGATTGGAAAATCCGTGCTGCAAATTCAGTAGCTAACCTGGGATTGTGGGGAACAACCTTAATCACCTGTGTTTTCTGCTCGCTAGTTTGAGTGTGTTGATCAGATTCTGGAGATGCAGGTTCCATGGGGAAAAGAGGAAGCACATCCCCTTTAACCCTCTCAGAGGGAGTACTGGCCGTGCTTCCTTGCATCTCACTCTCTTTTGATGTTGGCAATCTGCTGGCACAATGTGGTATTGCTTGGCTCATTTGGCTTGACATGTTACATGAGATCTGATGAGGTATGGGGAAATTTGTGTCTCCTATTGATAGCTGATTGTCCTTCGATTGGGCTCTGGTAAATGGGCTAACCTCCTCAATTGCTGAGACTGAAATAGATGGGTTCATAACCGGCATGCCATAATGTGGAAAGTACGTTTGACCTAAAGGAGCATTGCCTGGGAAAATTCCAATCCCTTCTTGGTGAGAAACCGGAACACCATAAGCAGTGCTCAAAAAGTCCCCACTCCCTGGAGCCATCTGACCACAGCTGCCATAAACTGGTGCCATAAAACCAGTACTTGGTGGGCAAGGCCCCGTGTAAGGTTTGTAAACAAGTCCTTCAGAAGGAGACATTACAGGAACTAGCCACTGATTTCCAGGTGGTGAGAAACACCATGGAGATGGTCTGCCGTTGGTAGCCACAGGTGTTGATGGGGCGTTTCCAGAGCAAGCTCCATAATTAACTTGTGGGGTAACAAGCCTGCTGCTGGTGTCAGTATTTACAGAACGGAGAGGAATCTTTGCAACAGCATTCTCATCTGCACATTCAATGATAGGATTTTGTTTTTGAGCATCATCTTTAACAATCAATAATGGTTCTGGGGATCGCAACTTCTTAATGGGAGACACATCAAGTGATGGTTTGCCCACATAAATGGTATCTTCTAGCAAAACATCTGGTGAACCAGCTATCAACTTCTGGACCTGTTGCAAAATACAAAGTAGATCCTTCAGATTTTGTTGGATAAGAAATTAAAAGAAAAAAGAGAGACCAGATTTGTTTAGCTCTCTATTCAGACAGATGAGTAAAAATAGAGCTAGTGATTGAATGGGCCAAAAAAGGCTTCTGTCAAGCTTTGATTTTTCATAACCAATCCCCACTCAAAAGATTTATCTGCCTAATCTTTTTGATCCCATCTATTCAATTAATCCAAAATACATGTACAGATTGGCTTAATACAAGTTAGACTTGTGGGCTTGAGTTCAGCATCCAGTCCTTGGATGGCTCAAAAGGATACAAACCAAGAAAAGATAACGAATACAAACTTCAGAATGAATGCAGCTTACCTTTAGTAGTCTATGCAATTCAAAGACTTGTACAGCAAAGACCCTTTGTTGTCTGAAAATTACAGTACGATGATGAGTATCTCATCAACAAGCAGAAATAATGACTAATTTTGGATGCATTACAGAAAATTCATAAGATATAACTACTTCTTTTAAACACTACATAGTTAGCTGGCTAACTGAAGGCAAATGGAAGTCACAACAGGCAACACTAAATAGAAACAACTTAACAATTTAACATAGATGCAGTTGAAGAATATGTGCACTTTGATGCTTCATGTCCACATTTACTAATTATATTTCTTGTAACTTGAATGACAACATTAGAACTATTCCACTTCTCAAGAAATTCACCTTTTCAATATATGGATAAAGGAGCATGAAGATCAGGGTACAGTGAAAACAAATGAAACATGATCACAGAATTAACTAATTTCCTGGAGAAGAAATGACAAGCAAACATGGAGGGAGGCATGCAGGGTAAGATGCATAGGCCAAGAGATAATCTACAAACATTACATGTATCAAATCCTTAGACCCTGGCGAAAGCACACAGAAGTAATCTCAAAGGTTCAAATAAAAAGTAAGAACAGAAATTGTGACTGTCAACTCCTAAAGTCAACACAATCTGAATAGGATATGCAATGTGTATGGGACAGGGTGTATGGGACAGGCTTAATTAGAATCTTCCTTCATCATATCAGTAAAATTAAGGCAATGACACTTTTGTCAGTAACCAAGTACTTTAAAATGAGGGAGGCCCCAAAAGCTATATGATTTATTGCAAGTAAAAGTGGACTAATTTCCTAGTAGATCACAGTTGAGCATATAAATCAAGCGAAAACAGAATAATAATAATAATTATATAAATGTCAAAGCAACATGAAAAAGTAATGGTTAAATGTATGTATGGAAATCAACATTCTTAAGAAAGGACCATGCCCATGGTCAACTGACATTTGAAATCTGAAGGTACAAAATGCCGTCTAAAATATGTCAATGTAGTTATTATCTAGAAAGGTTAAATAAAAACAAGTTTTACATAAAATCATAAAAGGAATTCTGAAATGGTGTTTTTCCTTTATAGTCCAAGGTTTCTTATCCCCCAATCACCTCAATCACCTTCTTGTCTTTTAAGTGAATGTAAATGAATAATACTAGCATAAGTATGGATAATGGAATTTTCTAAAACTTGTGATACATGTGAAACCATTAACAGGATCACCAAACCGGTGGACAAACAGCCACATAGGTGAAACAGAAAAAATTCATCAACTTCCAAACTTGATGCAGAAAAACCAATGATGGACAAGACAGCTACAATTGGTGAGATCTTAACTTATATATGGGTATAGAATATAGTTATCTTTAACTAAATAGTTTCACACTTCTAATATGCTTTTGATGAAGCATATGGACATACAATTAACCAGACAGAGATACGTACCTGACAATAGCTCTTCTTACTTTCCAGAATTGTTTTTCACCGATTAATCCCACGACAGCATCAGGAGAAATAGGCTCCACTGAGGCGTCTGAGAAAAGATCATCTCTGTCAACACATCTCCCTCGCACAGATCCATTCTTTTCTTCATGATCTTTACTTTTGTTTTTAAGTCCATTCCGACTTCCATTATCAGCTCCAAGTGATGGTCTAAAACATGACTCACTTCTCCCCTTGAAAGCATCTTCCCTGAAGACCATTTTGTCTTGTATAACCATATCCTCATTATGCAACTGTACATTTGTACCATTTAAGCTGTTTAAATTATGCTCTGAACTGCTTTTGGCTTCTTGGGAACGAGGCCGTTTCAGTGATTCAGAATTCTTAAATTTGGTTGCCAGATCTGAAGATGCAGCTGCCAAAATTTTATCTCCAGTTGAATGGATTGAACCAGAGCTTTCATCAACATCATGACTATTTTGAGAAAACCTTGCATTCTCTTTAGTTTGATTCCTCCCATCTCGTCTTGACTTCAAATCAATTGAATCAATTTCTTTTGTCTGCTTTTTGTTAACAGTTTGAAGTTCCAATGCGGAGTTCGATTTAGAAATATTTTCCTGGTCTTTGCTCTGTTGTATGTTACAGCAATGTGGACCTATTCCAGACTGGTCAGAGATAGGAACCCTAATGTCAGCCTTGAGTCCTATCTTCATTGAGGAAAAGATCTTAAAGTTAGAGAAGTTGTATGGTTGCAGTGGACCGTATTTACAAATGGCTGGCACTGCTCCTGTCACATCTGAGCCCTGATGATATTTTTTATCTTTTACAGCTTTGCATTCATTGTTTCCTCTTATGGTATTTACTTTAACCCCAGCAGAGGAAAAAGAATGAAACTTCTCAACCAAATTTGAAGGTTCAGGGGAGTTGTAGACTGGCGTTAACACATTCCTTTCATGACCGCCTCCCTACAAATATGAATTCTTTCTAATCACAAAAGGTAAGAGACATAACGACACTACATCAAGCCACATGGTTGGAACTGCACATGGTAAATTTCTATGGAAAAATCATTCGTACGAGTAATGGAGTTTTTGATTGAAAGTTATCCAGAAAGAGCACTTGAAAGCAGTAAACCTAGACCAACAGAAATTGCAATGTAGCAAATATGCCAACAGAGATCTTATGAAAATACCAGGGACTTAAGCTGCCTGTACTGGGCAAAGTAGAACATATCAATTCACTAAAATAAAAGTTGGACCGAGAGGCCATATTCCTCATCAATTGAATCCCAGTCCCAGGTACTTAAAAGACTTGCTATGTGCGGCATTTAGAATACCATGTCCCAATTTGATGGAAAATAAAATGAACAGTGGAAACAAGAAACGAAACTGAATGCAAAAGTACAAGAAACAACCAGCAGAGACATCAAACAGAAAACATGCTCGTTGCCTCAAGCCATTCAAACAACATAAGAATAATTGTATATAGATATTTATTAACTTTTAAAAAGTCACGTAAACTAGCAAACTCACATTACTTGATGATATTGATGGAACCAAGCTGCTACCCTTATTTGGAGGAAGGGGCAACATGGACACTGATCCAGATCCAAACCTTTGGGAAGGGATACTGAACTGTTCATAAAGAGCCATTTTATTCCTTGGAGGTGCCCTTGGTCCTCCTTTCTCTGTATCATTCACATGAAGCCTGGGAAACATAGGACTCATTACCTTTTCCTCATCTTTCCCCCCTTTCATCATTCTCTTCAAGCCCTTTACCACAAATTCCACTCACAATAACTGGTTCTTCCCCATTTGCAATCCTTAAAAGCCAAATTCACCACTGACCATTACATCAAATTCTCTTCCCCTAGATGGCAATTTCAAAAGTTCACAAGGGCAACGAGAATCAACCCACTTGCAAAACAAGTGCTCCGAATTCATTCAGCAATCAAAATCCTCTAAGGTATCAGAATCAGTGAATCTTGACAAAACCAGAATTCTATCAACACCCAATATCACACCACTTCAAAGAAACAAATCTTTTGACTGAAAATCATAAACAAACGACGATATCTAATAAAAAATTACAGAAACAGACCAACTCTCTAGCACCAAAAGCAATCCTCCTGGTAAAAATCAAACCTTTAATATAATAATCAAGTACCCAAAAGTTCTAACAAACCAAACTGCTGACAAGACAACACAGAACCCCACCTCAAAAAGACCCAACTTTAGCTCAAATTCAGATGCCAAGACCACCACCACCACAAAACATTTAGGATAACATAGAATATATATCAGTAAGTTTCACAAAAAGAACAAATAAAATAAGCATCAGAAGGACAGTGGAGGTAGATTTATGTGCAAAAAGAGAGATTCGGGCAGAGAAAAGAGGGGTTGCCTCGGCTTTCCACTGGAGAGCATTTCTTCATCTCTGTTGAAAAAAGTGCGAGAATGGTGGGACCTTAAGTGGATAGAACTGAGACTTCCTTTATCCTCCGCTCCAATACTTCTCCATCTCCACTGGCCAAGGGCAGCAAAGTTAGAAAAATCCTACCACGACACCGGGGACCCATCTTCTCCCGGATCCACAGCTGACTTGGCACACACCGATTGGGTTCCGGGGAGAAAAAGGCCATTACGGAAAAGAGCGCGGAAAGTGATTGCATCTTTAACATGTGAGAGATGGTGTGTACGTTTGATCACCACATGTTTTTTCTCGAAATCTAGCCAAATTTTAACGAGAAAATCCCGTAAGAGATCCCATGCAATCAGCGAAATGTTATTATTTTTCTCGCGCGAGAACTTCGGAAAGCTTTTTCTCAGGCGCGGAGGGAGCTCGTGGGTGGCACGGCTTATTCGAGAATTGACTGTTTGGCCTTATTTGGATACACACCAGAAAACTTTTCCTGCTTCGGGAAAAAAAAAAATTGAAAAAAATGGAAATTACTTTTGGGAGAGATCGAAATTCGAAACCTCTCTCCACACAAACTCTTGGAGTTTTTTTTTGTTTCTCCTAGATCCAACCACATCTTACCAAATCTCTTACTTTCAAATAATAAAAAATGTATATATAATTTTTATATTAGATATTAATTATTTGATATAACAAAATTTAAATTTTTTATATTGATTTTAAATTAAAATTTTTTTATTAATAAATATTAATTTAAATAATTTTTTATAAGTAAAAAAAATATTACTAGACTATATTAACTCATTAAAAGAATTATAATTGTAAAGTTTAATGTAATAATTATATGTACTTTAAAATTTGTGATTAAACATTTATTTTTAGCATTTCATTAATAAAAGTGATGTATAAATTGTTGGGAAAGCAAGTAAAGTGAAGGTTGAAACAAATATATTTTTTTAAGTGTACATTTAATTTTTTTAAAAATTGTTAACTATTTAAATTTTTTATCAAATATAAAAAAATTAGAAATCATGAGAACACATTGTAATTATAAAATTTATTAATTTTTTATATAAGATTTTTTAGAGATTAATATTTCTTAATTTTGTTGGTAAGAAAATTAAATTAAAAAAACTCAAAATTATATTATTTTAATAAAATATTTTAAAAAAATTAAAATAATTTTATTTTTATTTTAAAAATTAAGATATTTTACCTTTTTAATAAAAAATAATTAAAATAATATAATTTTAGAAGCATTTTTAACTAATTTTTTATAAATATAACTAATAAAATATTTTATCATTTTTTAATTTGTTGTATTTTTTTCCAACTAATAAAAACCTTACTAAGAAAGTAACTCTTCTCAATCAAAATTAATAATTTATTGATCCAAATGAAAGAAATTCAATTTTTTTTAAAAAAGATCTTAACTTTAAGTCTTATTAATGGTGAAATAAATGTTAGAAAAATTTCTCCTAATGAGACCTAACATAAGTTAATTTTAAATTAATTATAATTTAATATGATTAACAAATAGTAAGAGATTAAAAAAAAAAAAAAGCTCTTCCCGACCAAAAGCACCGAAACCGACTCTAAAATAATTAATGAAACTTTGATGGAACTGTTACGCGCTAGGCGCGAGAGTGGGGAATTTTTTTTTTCTTTCAAGCGAGAGTGGGGGTGCAAGTGGTCTTTGCACTTTAACTGGTGGTTGTTTAATTTTTTTTTTAGAAAAACAAGAAAATAGAAAGACCGTACGTAATCACTAATCGGTGATGTACAAAATTATTGATATTTAAATGCCGACAAGAGCTTCAATGCATAAGACGTGATAAATGGGAAACAATTTTAAGGTAATTTTTTAATATTATTTTTAGAGATAATTTAATGAATTATTAAAATGATTAATTTTAAAATTTTTTATATTATTTTTTAATATAATTTAATATATTATTAAAATAATTAATTCTTTTAATTTATATAAAATTCATAATATTAAATGCATCTATTTATTTAATGATATATAAAAATTGTATAAAAAAATAATATAAAAAATTATCTTTAGAACACTATCCAATGATAAATATACTTTAGAGGCCATTTCAAATTAAAATAAATTTATTATTTTGTTATTTAGATTATTTTAAATCATAAAATAAATTTTTTCTATACGTCAAATAAGAATTCTTAAATGAAAAAGTGTAATTGCATAAATTAAATCAGCAATTCTTTTACTGGAAATCTAAAATATGAATAACTTACAAAATTTTAAAAATTTAACCTTAAAATAAACATTTTAATATCTAAATTAGCAATAACCCATTGTAAAATTAAAGTAAATCAAGAAAAGTTGAAAGATTATAAAAGTACTTTTCTGGAGAACTTTCAGAGGATATTTATGGATTGGGAGTGCGGTTTATATAGTCTTTTTAAAGTGATAAATATGATGTGATGATTGAATGGGAAAGGGGAAAATGGACCACCGGAGACCCAAACTTTTAATTTGTGATATTGTTTTCAGGTAGAATCAAGTGGTAAATCACTTACACTAAAACGTAAAAAACACATTTTATATAAAAATTTATATTTTATAATTTGATATAATTTAAATTATAAAATAATATCATTTAAAAAATACAACTCTATTAATCTCATTAGTCTCCCTATGTATACTTGTTTAAATTTCATCATCATATCTCTTATTTAAAAATTTATATGTTATAATTTAGTACAATTTAAATTATAAAATAATATTTCACTTAAAAAATACAGCCCTATTAATCTCCTTAGTCTCCCTATGTATATTTGTCTAAATCTCATCATCCTATCTCTCCCCAAACAAATTAACGATACAGTCACCGCCCAACCCAACGAGACCTTTCTATTGATGTTGTTAATTAAGTGATGTTACATTAGCCCATATAGACTTGGTTTGGGACTTTAGGGTAGGGATAAAACTAGTGATCCCTAAGGCCCAAAACCCATATAGAGTTTATAAGGCTGGTGAAATAATATGAAGGCTACATTGCTTCCGTGCTCAGTCCACGATGAAACTTAGGCCCAAAATAAGGTTTGCACGAAGCATCACCCTGCGCTTCTTGCACCCGAGGCTTAACATTCAGCAAAGTTGTTTTCAAAATTATTACATGTTGCGACAACTTAAGAAGTGGTGAATAAGAATTGAATTTTGTGTCATCGCGTGGGTCTAATGTAGTGATGACCCTGAAAATCCAGCTTGGAAATTCTAGGATTTGAGCTACTAATTGCAAGTTCAGGAAACACATTAGTGGATAGCGATCTTTTCTTGGAAGAGATAAAGCCCCCACAATGCTTCCTTCCCATGCCTTGAGGTTGTTGATTTGAGCTATGGTAAGAAACTAAATGTGACAGACCTTCTGTACATGCATGAACCGAGTAATGTCAACGACCTCCGTCGATTGTGTTTGCTCTTAATCACATTGAAAAACCATTGCTCCTATTTGTTGTAAAGTTGAAATTTGTAAATGTAACATATAGTTGATGATGTGTTAGGTAGAACTTTTGACCCCCACAATGTAAATGAAAAAGAACAGAGGTCGGATTGGCGTGGCCCCATGATAAGATTGGGCCATTGAGCCTATCCTAATCTCATCTCCCAACTAAGTGCGATGTGTGAACCGTTTGCCTGGGCCCTCCAGGTCTGCTCAGAAATGTGACCGTGCTGGTTTTTGGTGGCGGTGGATCAGGACTTTTTTCAATGAAAACAATCCCCTTCTTTCATTTTTATCTTTTTTTAAAAAAAAAAAACAATTTTTTAATTTAGTTCCAATATCTCTTTTTTTAAAGATAAAAATGACGAATTCACTAATTATATGATGGAGATATTTAAGAACTGAACATTTTTTAAGATTGGTGTTTAAAAACAAAAGAAGAATTCACTAACAAAATCATATATGACCCAATGTCTTAATTCATGAGGTAACTGAAAATTAATATGTAATGTTTAAACTAACTACGAAAAAATAAAAAAAGTCACTGTAAGTAATATCTAGCGCATCTTACGCAAGTCAGAGTACTTAACATTTTTTATTTTAATATGAAAGGATGAGTTTCAAATCTCACAATAGATGTATGAAATAATAATTTATAATATGTGAGTAACTACTTGAATTACAAGATTTTTACTGAATATTTCTTGTTTATCCTTAATTTAGATGATTAAATGATATAACCTTTTATTTTATGTTTTTTTTTTTTTTGAACATATTTTGCAAGGGTAGGTTTTGAACCCTGTCGGGGGAGGAGGAATGCACCGTGATTATGTCACTAGGCCTCAAGGGCCAGGTATTTCTATTTTATGTTTAAATTATTAAAAAAAAAAACTAAATAACTTATTGTTAGTGTTCTAAAATTCAATACACTTTAAATTTTACAATAGAGGTAAAACTTAATTAGCTAAAAATATTAAATTCCCTTGCTAACTCCCAAATTACAGACTCCGGTGCCTTTTTATACCATAAAAATTTTAATGTAACGGAAATATTATTAAAAAAAAAAAAAACAGTAGAAAACATGAACATCACAGAAGAAACTAAAAACACAACGGATAATGTTAAATTTGAGGAATGAATAGGATTGGGTGATATAAATGAGTTTTGATGGTCCCAATTCCAGCTCCTCACCGTTCTGATTTCTCCATGTGAACGACGGCTATCCTTTCACCTTCTTCCCAATCACAAACCCCCACGTATGCGTCGGACCGCGGAGTTCACGTGTGATTCCTAATAATAAAGCCGTGTCAAAGTGTAGGGCCTGCAAATTACGACGATCCAATCGAGCCGAGGAGGTGGAGGAATGGCGTCATCTGAGCCGACAGCCCGCTAGCGGTTAAGATTGCCGAATTAGGGCGGAAGATGATCGGAACGGTATTAATTGGGATTATGACGTCTAGGGAACGGGTGATGGACCACCCGGATGAGGATGGAGATGGGGCCGAGAGTGGGTTGGCCCCTCCCCATCCAACTTTTGGACTCTGGCTAACTCATGAACGCTCCAGATTTAATGCTTACCGTTGAGTGAGATCTATTTTAAGAATATATTCTTACGCTTTTTTTTTTTATTAAAAAAAGTAAAATCTTATTGTATTCTATGTATTATTTTTTTGAAATATTTTTTATAATTTAAAATTTATAAAAACTTAAAAATTACAATGCAATTTTTTATTTACATCTTGATTTATTAATAATTTAAGATTTTTTTTTATAAGTTTTAAATTATAATGAGTATTGATTGAGAGTAAAAATTATAAAAAATATTGTGATATTGGTCATGAAAAATAATAATATCTAGAGTAAAAATGGTATGATATATATTTTTTTATCTTGATTACGTAATGGAGGCAATCATCTCCCATCCTTTATTCCATCATATTTTCATATTATGCAATTTGACATCTTATTTCTAGCGGAAAGAGATAATCACTGAGTTATTTACGCTGTTAGAAAAAAAATGGTATAATATATTTTTTTTGTACTAACCTCCTGGTATCCAGTAACCACATTATGTTCCGACTAATGTGGAATCGATTTGCGTCAGACCCTATTTGAGGGAAGTTTTCTCATCGCTTGTTTCTCAATTTACAAAACTCGAATTCGAGATGTTATTTAAAAAAAGCCGAACTCCTTCTATTCGGACAGGTCAATGGTGAAAAAATGATATGATATGAAATAAACTTAAATGAGTAAATATATAAATATATATTAAATAAAAAAATTACTTTTATAATAATACATTTACAAAATTTTATAATAATACATTTACACTGTGATATTGTAACTGAAATATACTATTTTTAGCACTTGGTCCTTACGGACCAACGATCATAAGCTGACTTGTAAAGTGCATCCCCAAGCTTGAGGGTTCGGTTCGATTCCCCCCTCTCCCAAAATTGTAACATTGTTAAAAAAAATAAAAAGAAATATACCATTTTTAAAAATTAATAGAAACACCCTAATACTAAATAAATAAATAAGTTAAAATAAATGCTCATG